GAGTCTCCTTTAGGACCCAGGCGGTAAAGCCTGATCAAAAGTTATTGCGATGAGTTGACTAATTATAACCTATTTTACTATTGTATGATGTTTATTACATTAAGTGCACAAACAACATGCTTGAAATATAAAAATAATTCTTATGTATTACACAATATAACAAACTGGAAACACAACCATCCCTACAATGTATTTTTTAAGGATAAGGATTAATGCAAGATAATATGTTATGAAAAATAAATGTAATATTAGTTTTACACAATAATATTAATGTGGTAAAGTATAGGATATACTAATACTATAAAACATTTTGTAATAAATTAATTATCATGCTAAGTACACACAAACGTCATTGATTTAAAACATGTAATTGGGAACTATCTTGGAAGCAAAAAATATAGCTAATATTAGCTAAGCTAGCAGGCTTATCGGGTAGATGTATGCTATGCTAGTAGGTAAGCTAACAAAAAAACAGTAAAACGAGAAATCTTTGATTTCAAAACCTAGCTTTAGATATGTACACTATACTAGTATATGAACCATGTGATGTAAAATACATTAATGGTAATTATAATGCATTTTAAACTATTTAAATCATAACGTGATTTTGCAGGAATTGTAATCAGGCGCTAAAAAAAGTCTGTTGAACCAATGGGATCACTCGGGGTCCTAGAGGAGACCCGATTCCTGGAGGGACTCGATTTCTCACCACACCTGACGTATTCTGAGGACTTTAGATGATTGAGTGTTATTTGATCCTCAATGATATTCTTCACCTGGCCGACGTTATCCGAGGAGAGTCAGTTATAGCCATTTAGAGACACCAAACATCCTTAAAGTCACCATCAAATCAAACTGTACTGTTCTTTTTTTATGGACTATTTCAGTGTTTGATTTATCAGTGCATGTCATAATCTTTTTAATTCATGTTCCTCGCAAACCATAACCATCTAAACAATTCCCCACGGACAAATCAAGCCCTACATTTGTTCTTTTTCACGAGTTCACACTTACATACAATTAGAGGGAGTAAAGTTTAATGTGTGTATTGCGTGCTGTCTGGGGGGAACCCAGAGTACTCTCCCCGTATGTAAATGGTTAGGACCAGAAGTGTAGAAGGGGTGGTGGAGTGATGCTGCTAAACTGTCAATGGATTGTAGCCTGGGAAAACCCAGACAACTTCCGGCAAATTTAGATTTGCTCTGAAAGTTAGTCTGGCAAAGCTCATTCAAACTCATTTCCAATCCGCCGAAATCGCGGCACCAATCAGAAGCGTTGGGGCGGGCTTTACACGATGACAACAGCGCTGGGATTTTGAAGCAGATTTTGTAGCCTACATTACAAAGATGGATGCCGCCGTCGAACATCACTCGTTCCAATCAGCTATCGCGTCTGTTTTAAGCCATTTGAACGTTTCCTTTTAGTTAAAAACCGAGCAAAGAACAACATTTGGAGATGTTTCTCCGCCGCTCTGCATACGTCATCTCCTTCATCGCTCTGATTGGGTTTAGGTCTATCCGCGACGTCCGTTGGTGACGCCCCTCTGGAAATGATTTGTCTATGACGCTTTGCCAGTTACAACTGAGAAGGGTCTGGTTTTAACCAGGCTAAATGGATTGAGGTGAGACTGCTGAATCTATATATACACCTCTTAACATTGATTGCTGAGTGCTCTCCACCCATGTTAATTATCTGAACGTGCTCCTCCTGAACTTTGTTAATAAAACATTATTTCGAGTGGTGTTTCAGACTGCAGTTAAAAGTGGCTTACATCTGATTTGTTTTCTTTCAAAACAGCCTAATAACAGTGTAAAAGCACAAACCACTGGGAATATGATCTTTTTTTATTCTGATTTTGATTCATATTTAAAAAACCTACAGGATTTATTTAAAAGATTGTAATTAACAGTCCTACAACTTCTCAATTTTAACAGGCTTCTCTTTGTTTTGTGCTGTCTTAAAGGGATACTCCACCGTTTTTCCATATTAAACTATGTTATTCCTTTAACTAAGACGAGTTGATACATACCTCTCTCGTCTCAGTGCGTGCACTCAATCGCTCTGTCTTGCGGCGAAACTTTGTTAGCACTTAGCTTAGCCCAGTTCATTCATTAGGATCCAAGCAGAGAAGCAACCAAACACCTCCACGTTTCCCTATTTAAATACAGTTACACGAGTAGTGTATGGTGACATAAATGGTGACATAAAATAAAACGTTGCGCTTTTCTAAGCGTGTAAAGTGGAGAACTATAATGTATGGCGGAATATCACAGCAAGTGCTTGGGAGCACTTCGACTCGGCGCAGTAATATCATCACTCCTGAAAAATCCTCTCCACCCTCTCCCTCTCCGGAGTGATGATATTACTGCGCCGAGTTCATAGATATATATGCGCCGAGTCGAAGTGCAACGTTTTATTTTGTGTCACCATTCTTGATCGAATTACACTACTCGTGTAACTGTATTTAAATAGGGAAACGTGGAGGTGTTTGGTTGCTTCTCTGTTTGGATCCTAATGAATGAACTGGGCTAAGCTAAGTGCTAACAAAGTTTCGCCGCAAGACAGAGCGATTGAGTGCACGCACTTAGACGAGAGAAGTATGTATCAACTCGTCTTAGTTAACCCATTTAATCCCAAATTTTTCCCAGACATAAAAATATCCAAATCATGTGTCATTAGCATCCCTTTGAAACAATCAATCATAATTTTTTTGAAATTTTCTTGGAAAAGTGTGTGAAAAAGTGAGTTTCACAATTGTGACCTGTGGGATAATGTGTTGTATCAACCATTGGACAGACTGAATATAGGTCTATAGGACCTGTGCAGTGTGTTTGTGTGTGTGCGCGTGTGTTTGTGTGTGCGTGTTTGCATGTGTGTGTGCACGTGTGTGTGTGTGTGTGTGTTTGTGTGGTGTGCATGTGGGGTGTGTGGTGTGCGTGCGTGCGTGTGGGGTGTGCGGTGTGTGTGTGTGGGGTGTGCGGTGTGTGTGTGTGGGGTGGTGTGCGTGGGGTTTGTGGTGTGCGGTGTGTGTGTGGGGTGTCTGGTGTGTGTGTGTGGGGGGGATGTGCGTGTGTGTGGGGGGTGTGCGTGTGTGTGGGGTGTGTGGGGTGGTGTGCGTGGGGTTTGTGGTGTGCGTGCGTGTGGGGTGTGCGGTGTGTGTGTGTGTGGGGTGTCTGGTGTGTGTGTGTGTGTGGGGGGGGGGGGTGCGTGTGTGGGGGGTGTGTGGTGTGTGTGTGGGGGGTGTGGTGTGTGTGGTGCGTGGGTTCTGTGGTGTGTGGTGTGCGTGTGTGTGGGGTCTGCGGTGTGGGGTGTGCGGTGTGTGTGTGTGGGGTGTCTGGTGTGTGTGTGTGTGGGATGTGTGGTTTGTGTGTGGGGCGTGTGGGGTCTGTGGTGTGGTGTGCGTGGGGTTTGTGGTGTGCGTGCGTGTGGGCTGTGCGGTGTGTGTGTGTGGGGTGTCTGGTTTGTGTGTGGTGCGTGGTGTCTGTGGGGTCTGTGGTGTGTGTGTGGAGTGTGTGGTGTGCGTGTCTACCTGTAATTGCGTGTGTGTGTGTGTGTGTGGAAAATTAGGTAGAATTAGTTAGCTAGCTAGTCATTATGTGTGTGTGTGTGTGTGTGTAAAATTAGGTAGAAAGTTAGGTAGCAGCAGAAAGTAAGGTAGAACAGTTAGCCTATGTGTATTAGCATGTAGATACAATGGGTTATCCCACCGGTCACTATTGTTGTTGATGACATGTTTGTGAGGTCTATGACCACATTAAACAAAGTTGAGTAATTGCAAATGCATATATCAATACTAGACACCTTAAACATGATGTGTACCAAAAATCTATGTCCTATCTTTATGTCAACCTACTTTACTAATCTTTTCTTTGGGAGCTTTCTTGCTGCCATCCTCTTCTCTTGGCACAAACAGGAAATAAACAGCTCTGGTCATGTGACAATTTACAGTAAACATGCGACATATTTCATTGAGACCTTTTATTATTTCAATATCTGCTGGAAATGCATTGATAGATCATTCAGTAACATTTTTATAGCCTTAGAAATTAAACATTTTTTCACGGTCACTATTGTGACCGGTGGGATTAAATGTTAAGGGAATAACATAGTTTAATATGAAAAAACGGTGGAGTATCCCTTTAAAGGGGTCCTATAATGCCCTTTTCCCAAGATGTAAAATAAACCTCTGATGTCCCCAGAGTGTGTATGTGAAGTTTTAGCTCAAAATACCCCACAGATATTTTTATAGCAAGTTAAAATTGTCACTTTTTGAGGGTGAGCAAAAAAGCATAGTTTTTCTGTGTGTCCCTTTAAATGCAAATGAGCTGCGGCTCCCGGCACAGAGGGCGGAGCTAGAGTGTGTGTGTGTGTGTGTGTGTTAGCAGCTCCGATTACCTCACACACACGCACTGACAATTTTAAACACTTTTAGCCATTTATGTTCAAACTGGAGTCAGACGATGATGGAGAGACTCAAGAAGTGACAACATGAAGAAGCAACAGGACGTTTCAGAATGGTTAGTTGATTAATTTATGTACTAATGTGGAGTTAACTATCTTCAAGTCTTTGATTAGCATATTCTGTCATGATAATATATAAATGCGTTCCCGGGGGCGGGGTTTATGTAAATTTAGCTCATTGTAGTCCCTACCAGCCGTTTTTTTGTAGTCCTTATATAGAGATTTCTGTAAAAGCAAATATCTCCCTTTGCTTTGAACTGTGAGCGTTGTAACTTTGCAGATGTTGTTTATGCTCAAACAGCAACATTACACACTAACTAAAGTTAAAAAAAGTGAAATCATAATCAACCACCCCTTTCACTTGTCCGGCTTCATGCTGTCAGAAGCTCATATTTTGAGGCACAGGTGTTCTCTCTCCATTACCCACCGTTATACTGGTGCATCCAAGGGCGAGATGTATACCTCATCATATTTCCTCATCTTTTCTGTCTACACTGGACACGAAGCCCTCGCCGTCAGTGGAAAGAAAGTAGAGAGGGTAAAACACAATTTCCTCACTTTATTTCTCAGAATATGTTCACTGCGTTCATCCACATACTGTTCATCCAGACACGATTATAGACGAGTGCACTAATTGTGCGATTTTAATTTGATAATGTTTATGTCATCAGTGTGTGATTGACCCTTTGTCTGCGTTTGTTGAAAGCATGTTTGTGTTTAGTGGCGTCCAGTGTTTGTGTTCTCAGTTCTGTGTGGGGTCGATCACTCTCCCCATGAACAACAGGCTAGAAGTGGCTTCATGGTACAGAAAGAAGAAGAAGGGCCTGTTGATGATGAAAGTGGCTGGCAGAGAATAAGCCGTGATTCCCACTGATGTGGCGGAGGCTGCGCTGGTCCCTTTCTCATCCACCTCGATGACGGCTTTATGCAGCACCTGTACAACACAAACACACGTAATAAAGCACTGATGGCTACGTTTACATCCAATGTTGTGAATTTAAGGCGAGACACCCCAGGTGAATAGGGTAAAAAAAATACTTCACCAGTTGATTGTTTTCATTCATAATTGCAAAACATTTTTTATATTACAAGTTTTTTTAAATTGTATGTTAAAAATGCAAATGAGGCATTATCTAATTAAATATTAAGGCCATTCCAGCGGTACAGCGGTTCTGGCAGTAGGACGTAATGTCTCCGTTCCCTCCTCAGGGAATGAGGGTTACATACGTAACCAAGACGTTACCTTTCGTTCAGTCACTCCGAGTTATATCAGTGACTGAAAAAATGGGGGTCCCGATATAATCACGCCACAGCGGCTATCTTCCAGTGCCCTGCGCAAGACTGAGCTCCCTGTTGTGAGACTAGCAAGGACGAAAGGCTTAACGCAGGAATACCAAGGTACACTGGGTGGCATATCCCAGGAGGAATATGAACACAGCGCCTACCCGTAAGGAGGACTTGGAATACACATATGACCCGAGTGCGGGATGCATATGGAGAACATGTGGGGGTTGCCCAACGGGGGAACCATGCACACGGAGGCACCTAGCCAATCACAAGGGCTGACCGACTGGGCATGCACTCCGGTGATGGCATCAACAGTGCAGGAGGAACTTGGAGTTTAAGAAGAACTCATTTGAGTGAAAAACCGCACGTATCCAGTCCGTGGAGTGGAATGGTGCTGCAAGCGATGACACCGAGCAGGTCCTACTTACTGGCTAGTGGAAGCGAGTACATGAGAGGACACAGGCTCCACCCAGAGATTATAGAATCTCGCGAATGTGTTGGGTGTCGCACAGCCTGCAGCTCTGCAGATGTCTGTTAGCGAGGCGCCATGCCATAGAGCCCAGGAGGAAGCAACACTCCGGGTGGAGTGTGCCTTCATAGCTAGGGGGCATGGTCGACCCTGCGTCTGGTAAGCCAAGACAATGGCGTCCACTATCCAGTCAGACAACCTTTGCTTGGAGAGAGCCTTTCCCTTCAGCTTCCCACCATAACAGACAAAGAGCTGTTCTAAGGTCCTGAAACACGGCGTTCTGTCTACGTAAGCACGGAGGGCACGTACTGAACAGAGCAGTGCCAAGGCTGGGTCTGCCTTCTCCGAGGGCAGTGCTTGCAGGTTCACCACCTGATCCCTGAAAGGAGTGGTGGAAACCTTGGGCACGTATCCAGGCCGGGGTCTAAGGATCACGTGAAAGTTAGCAGGCCCGAATTCCAGGCAAGCTTCATCAACTGAAAATGCGTGCAGGTCCCCTACCCTCTTGATAGAGGCCAAAGTGACCAGTAGCACTGTCTTCATAGATAGGAGCTCCACTGATTGCAAAGGGTCAAAGGGAGCACTCTGGAGGGCGGATAAGACCACTGCGAGGTCCCAAGAGGGTATGAGAGGAGAGCGAGGAGGATTTAGTCTCCTCGCCCCCCTCAGGAACCTGACGACCAGGTCGTGCTGTCCTTCATGGTGGAAGGAGACAGCCTTCGTTCCAACCCTTCCGATCGGGCATTTGCTGGGGTCTTCTCTGCGAGTAGAACACCAGGTGACGAAGAGGTTCCACTTCAGAGCATAGGCGTGTCTTGTGGACAAGGCCCTAGCTGAGGTGAAGGTAGCCACCACCTGAGGTGTTAGGGTAGTGCATTTTCAGCCCCATTTCTATGTTGCCTGTATGCGGAATGGAGAAGGCCTAATGCGACACGCAAAGAAGCGGAGGAGAGGCAGGTGCATCTTAAGAAGCTCCTGAAGATGGGACTTTCTGACGGTGGCTCACGATCGCCTTGTCTTGGTTTTGTTTTCCCTGATGTCCCTAGGACTCATGTCCCTCTGCCTTAGAGAAACCCTACCATTGGGCGGTGTGTGTGTGCCATGCACCTGAAGTTGCTGCCGCGAGCCTCTCCCTCTGCTTCGAGTATCGTTTCTGCACCGCTCAAGATGGCTTTGTTAAAGGCCTGTTCAATTTCTAACAAGTCATTTTTGCTCAGTGACTTATTTACTTCTAAAAATATGGATTTTATGTTGCTGACGGAGACATGGCAACGGAGTATGGATTACTGTCATCTGATTAAGCGCTGTCCTGTGGGTTGCTCATTTATCAGCACGCCAAGACCCGTGGGCCGTGGTGGAGGACTTGCTGTGGTTTTTAAGAAGCATTTTATTTGCCAGTTGATGAGCGCAGGTATGTACTCTTCATTTGAACTACAGATGACTAAAGTTGGTCGTTCAAATTCATTCTATTGTTTTTTGCTTTACCCACCACCTGGGCCAACCAGGCCTTTTCTGAGTGAATTTACTGACTTTTTATCATCCACTATTAAACTGAACAGAGTGATTATTGTTGGTGATTTCAATATTCAAGGGACGACGATGCCTACAACATTGCTTCTGAATTTTTAAGCATCACGGAATCTTTTAACTTTACTCAACATAATTACCCATCCGCAGCTTTAGACGTGTCTGTCGGAAGACGGAGCGTTTATGGAAAGCGACTCAGCTCCAAGTCCATCGCCTGCATCTTAAAGAGATCTTGATTGATCTTAACGAGATGATCAAGGATGCAAGAGTCTCTTACTTTTCAAAACCGATATCTGCCAGCAAAATGAATCCTAAAACTTTGTTTGAGACTATTAACAACATTGTTTCTCCTGCTACATCTTCTGTCCCTGTGTTCTAAAGATGATTGCAATCATTTTTTGTCTTACTTTGTGGACAAGGTTACAGCTGTTAGGGCAGGCATTGCACTATCAGTAAACCACCTTACAGTTACTCAACAAAGACCCTCAATACTGGACTCCTTTTGCCCCATTTCCCGGGAGGACATTATTTGGTTAGTGGGTGCAATGAAGCCTTCCCAAAGCTCTGTTGATATTTTGCCTATATCTTTGTTCATGAAATCCATTATCTATTGGTCCGTGTTTGGTTTGATCTCTTAGGCTGGGCCAGGTCCCTAGGTGTTTTAAACATGCTGTTGTTCAGCCTCTTTTGAAAAAGAGTAATCTCGATGCAGCATCTTTTAACAACTATAGGCCTATTTCAAAATTGCCTTTTATTTCTAAAATCCTAGAAAAGGTTGTGGCAATACAGTTAAATTATGTGTTGGAGGCTCATAGTATCTGTGATCATTTCCAGTCTGGCTTTCGAAAAAACCATTCAACTTAGACTGCCCTCCTCGGGGTTTCAATGGCATTTTGATGGCTGCTGATGCAGGAGAATGTTCTGTGCTGGTCTTGTTAGATCTCAGTGTAGCATTTGATACTGTTGATCACTGCACTCTGATTGATAGACTTAAGTCTCTAGTGGGCATTTCTGGATCTGCTCTGGATTGGTTTACTTCCTATCTTTCTGACAGGAGTTTTTCGGTGTCCACAGGATCTTTCATGTCAGATTCTGCTGCTCTGTCCTGTGGTTTGCCGCATGGTTATGTGCTTGGCCCCCTGCTGTTCAGTCTGTATATGCGTCCCCTTGGAATGATTATAAGTAGTTTTAAAACAGTATTTTATCACTGTTATGCAGATGACATCCAGTTACTCATTTAATTTAGTCCAGATAGACTAGACAAACTGTCCCTTTGCTGAACTGTTTAGTCTCCATTAATAAATGGATGGCTGAGAATTTCTGCAACTTAATACGGATAAAACAGAGGTGATGATTTTTGCCCCAGACAACATTACCCCTAAGATTAGGCAGGCCCTTGGGGGGCTATCATCCTCTGACCGCAGTGACAAGAAATCTGGGTGTTATTTTTGACAGATCAATGTGTTTTAACAGTCATGTTAAGTCTGTGGTCCGCACCTGTTTTTTCCATCTCAGGAATATTGCAAAGATTAGATCTATGGTTTCAAAAAAAGAGATGGAGATGCTTGTTCATGCTTTTATTTCTTCACGATTGGACTATTGCAATGTGCTGTACACTTGTTTGAATAAATCCTCTATAGATCGACTGCAAGGTGTACAAAATGCAGCTGCTAGGCTTTTGACTAGGACAAGCAGGAGCACACACATTACTCCTGTGCTGAAGGCCCTTCATTGGCTTCCTGTTGGTTTTAGAGTACATTTTAAAATTGTGGTTATTACTTTCAGAGCCTTGCATGGTCAAGCACCCTCTTACGTCCAGGATCTATTACATATGCATGTCCAAGTCGGTCTCTGAGGTCTTCAGGCCAAGATCTTTTAACTGTTCCCAGAACATGCCTTAGGACAAGAGGTGACCATGGTTTTTGTGTTGTGGCTCCTAAGCTCTGGAACTCGCTCCCTTTAGCTCTGGTAACTATGAGTTCTGTGGAATCTTTTAAAAAACATTTAAAGACTCATCTTTTTGGACAAAACAACAATATGTTTTGTTTGTTATTGAATTTTTGTGGAAATTGATGGTAGTACAGTTGTGGAGTTGTACTAGGTTTGCACTTGTACAGTTGTTGTTTTATTTTACTGTTTATTTGTATTACTGTGCAGCACTTTGTGACCCTTTCTTGTCTGTGAAAGGTGCTATACAAATAAATTTGACTTACTACCAGCAACTCGAGGCAATTGACATGCCAAAGGCGCTGGGGTCCTGTCCAGGAGCTCGCGGCAGGATGTCCATTGCATGTGGCACCCCAGGAGGCATCTGTTGATACAACAACGTGCCCATCTCGGGATTTGATCGCGAAGCCAGTGCTGAAGTGGTCTCAAATGTCTCTTATGGATTATGGGGATTTTTTATATATGTGCGCCCCGAATAAATATTTGCACCAACTGGATTCAGTTTATCATGGCGCACTGAGATTCATTACAGGGTGCAAACCCTTTACACATTGTTGCACTCTGTATGATCTGGTCCAGTGGCCCTCCCTTGCTCAGCGCAGGCTTAGACGGTGGCGATTGTTTATATACAAATCCATTATTGGGACATTACCACCTTATTTATGAAGGCTTATGTCCTTCAAGGCCAGCATTCACTCTCTGCGGTCTAATGATAATCTCCACATGATTGTGCCTAGGGTTCGAACAGAGTTAGGGAACCAAGCATTTAGAATTTCTGCCCCATCAGCGTGGAACCTGTTACAGAATGACTTAAAACTTGATAACTTGGTCTCCTTTGGTCACTTTAAGAGGCTAGTAAAGTATCGGGAAGCAGGCACAATGGGCACCTGTCCCTGCTTCCCAAATTAGGATGAGTCTATTGTATTGTAATTTGTTACATTGTATTTTTAACTGTTGTAAGGCCATTGTATTTCTTTTTTTTTTTTCTTTTTTTTTAAGTGTGGCTGATTCATTGTATTGTTAATGTATTATGTCTTGTAAGTTTATTGTATTTAAATATATTTTGTATTTTATGTGGAACTTTTATTGCGGCCTTCTTGGCCAGGGCTCCTTCGTAAAAGAGACTTGTCCTCAAAGGATTTCCCTGGTTAAATAAGGGTTAAATAAAAAAATAATAATAAAAAAAATGAAGCAGTCCGAGGGGCGTGGCAGCTGCTGTGGACGCCATATGCCCCAGGAGCCTCTGAAATAACTTCAGTGGAACCGCACTCTTGCCCTCGATTTGTCTCAGGCAAGTCAACAGTGACTGTGCGCGCTCGCTCGTAAGCCCAAACGGACGAGGTGCATTGTCCCTGTGTTGGCAAACCTGTATTTAGAGTGAGCTAGAATCAGCTAGTCGTCGAGATAGTTCAGGATGTGAACTCAGTGTTGCGGGAGTGGCACAAGGGCTGCCTCTACGACTTTCGTGAAGATGCAAGGGGACAGGGCTAACCTGAATGGGAGAACCGTGTACTGGTATGCCTGCCCCTCGGAAGTAAACTGTGGAAACGGTCTGTGTCGAGGAAGAATGGAGACATGAAAGTTTGCGTCCTTCAGGTCGATCGCTACAAACTAATTCAATAGACGAACGCATTCGAAAATGCGCTCAGCTGTCAACATCCTGAATGAAAGCCTGTGAAGGGTTCGGTTCAAGATTCACAGGTCCAGGATTGGCCGTAACCCACCGGTTTTCTTGGGTACAAGTAGGGGCTGTAGAAGCCGGACTTCATTTCGGCTGGGGGGATGGTCTCGATCGCACCTTTCGGTAGTAGGGTGGTAACCTCCGCATGCATGACAGGGGCTCTGCCAGCTATCATGGTATTGCGGACTCCCCGGAAGTGGGGAGGAGACTGTGCGAACTGAATCGCATAGCCAAGCCTGATGGTTCTCACGAGCCAGCGGGACAGGTTGGGAATCTCTAACCAGGCTCCCAAGAACTGCACCAGCGGGGTCATGTGAACCACAGATGTACCCTCGATGGGGCAGCGAAGCGGAATGACCGGCCCAGACGTGGGAGGTGGAGCATCCCGGTGTGGGGGCAAGGTCATATGCCGCGTCCTGACAGAGCAGGCTAGGGAAGGACGAGCGTTTCCGCGGGGGCCTGCTCTGACAGGGGTTTGGCGACAGAGGGGGGTGAGAGTCGCGAAGCGGAGCATCACACACTGCCATCCGCGGCCTCTGGGAGCACAGAGATGGGGGTGTCAGTTCTTTCTTTAACCACTTTAGGGTGCTGCCGGCCATAAGTCCAGCACTGGGGTAGGGAGAACAAAAGATTCTCTGTAGCCCTGCTACCATCTCCTGGAAAGAACTGCAGCCCTCTCTCTGAGCAGTCCGCATCAGGAGCGCCGTTTCGCCTGGCGTTTGGCAGGCTACCGGGCTGAAGCGGACTGGGGCGCCTTCCTGCGGCCACCTCCACGGCGCGGCGCGGGTGAAGGCTGCTGCTAGGGCCGGGCAGGAGGACACCTTTCGGCGGCGAGCAGACAATGGTGACTTCCAGAACCTCATGACCTGACGTAACTCGCAGTGACTGAACGAAAGGGAACTGTAAGTTTCTGCAATCAGGCTTTTTTTTTCTCCATCATAAATCAGTTTGTCTCAGAGCGTCAGGCGAAACACAATAAACGCTGTCATGTTCTCTTGCATTCGGATGCTGGTGTTTGGGAACACAATCGTGTGAGACACTTCTGGAGGGAATTAAACCAAATCATTCTGATCACAGACTTTGACTCCGGCGTTTCAGAAACACCACACCAACATTTGAGACGCTGCAATGCCATTGGTCCACTGGTTACTCCAGTTATCCAATCACAGCCTCTGCTGAGGAAAAGTGACATGAATTTTGAGGGATTTATTCAGTAAATGTGTGTGTGTCTTGAGTGTCTTCTTGATGAAGAAAAAATGACCCGCCTCAATTGAACCGCAAATGTTTTTATGCACATTTTTTAATTTATGCACATCTTGGCGTTTCTATCTAGCATGTGATATTTTATGCGATAACCCAAGATTCACATAAAAACACAGTTAATGTCAGTATGTGGGAGGCTACAGTAACCTGTGAGATTTTCAGATGCCCCTCTTTGCTTAAACCCGTCAGGTTGGCTGAATCGAGGAAAACACTGTCGATGCCCAGATGTGGCAGAATTTCATGCATGTTGTAAGACTGCTCCATCTTGAACTTGGGCAGATGAACCTCCATTCTCCTGAACGAGAGAGAGAGAGAGACAGAGAGAAAAACAGTACAACATGTATAAAAGTCAATCATGATGGTTAAAATAGAGGTTAAATAAATATTTCCACCAAATTTGAGAATTCATTTTCTCTCATGTCTGTCCTTTTCACACAACAGCAGTTGATAGAGATCATGTTTATCAGTTGCTGAGTGTATGACTCCTGCACTATTGTCTTACAATGCTTTGAGTCTTTGAGAAGATCTTTTTTCATGACTTTCATTCACTAAATTCAAGTATTTTAAGCATATATTTTCCTCAAATGTTGATGGTTTAATCGAACTTGTGAGTCATTAAAATGTCTATCTATCTATCTATCTATCTATCTATCTATCTATCTATCTATCTATCATTTTAAGAAATCCTTTTTTATGGTTATTAAGCCTCATAAATGGTTACGCACACACTAATAGTGTGCAAAGTAAAAAGCAAAGCTGTAAAAGGGGTCATTCGCAGAACGCATTTCTGTGGTTCAAAATAATGAAAAACAGAATTCAATGCGTTTAAAAAAAAAGTTAAACTTCTTTCAGCAGATTTTTGGAATGCCTTGTCATGCGCGAGATGCTCAAAACACTTGAGCACAGCGATCAAACACGTCTGTCAAGCGCATTTACATATACATTCAAAAACACATTCTGTGTGAACGTCCCACAATTCTGCCGCTCACATTCGCCTCATGTTTTTGATCCAGCCGAAGAATCGCTCAGCGTTGATCTCGTCATCTATGACGGTGTAGTCAGCAGTGGCATCGGGCAGGACGATGAGCAGAGCCGCTCCACCGCGGTACGGCAGACGCAGCACTCGAGCGCGCAGCTCACTGTCTTCAGCCGTGGAGAATTTATCCTCCTGAAACATCATGGGGACTTGAACAATCTTGTACTTGTCGACATAAAAGCGACTCATTTCCGTGCTGTTGGGGTTGAACGGATGATCCCATTCACCTTGAACAAAGAGTTTTAGATGATATGAAAAAGATTCGTAAAGGTTTCGAAGCTTCATGAATGTGGGAAGTTTCATTAAAAAAAAAGCTGGTGCTGACTGGTAACTTTTAAAAAAATGCTGGTGGGGAAAGAGTAAAGACAGTTTTTACTTAAACCAAGAACAAATATCTGCAATTGGGGTCGGAAAAATAATCTTGTTCCCTTTTGAGTCGGTCTCTCGACATTGCAAGCTACTCTATTGGGTGTATCCTCTCCTTCGCTTAAAGGGGTGGTACAATTCCACTTTTTCCAATATGTAAAATACATCTCTGTTGTCCCCAGAGTGTGTATGTGAAGTTTTAGCTCAAAATACTCCACAGATAATTTTGTACAGCATGTTAAAGTTGTCCATTTTTGAGGGTCAGTAAAAACGCGTTGTTTCATGTGTGTCCCTTTAAATGCAAATGAGCTGCTGCTCCCGGCACAGAGGGCGGAGCTACAAGAGCTCCTGTGTGTGTGTGTGTTAGCAGCTCCGATTACCTCACGCAGACAAGCACTAAAATGTCAGAAACTGTTCTGCCTTTTATGTTTAAACTGGAGTCGGACGATGATGGAGAGACTCAAGAAGAAGTGACAACATGAAGAAGCAACAGGACGTTTCTGAATGGTTAGTTGATGAATTTATGTTACTGATGTGAAGTTAACTATCTTCAAGTCATTGATTAGCATATTCTGTCATGATAATCTATAAAATCGCTCATGTGGGACTGTTGTAAGATGCCTACAGAGTGACACGATATTGCATTTGTGTTACGTACTGTATTGCATGTGAAAAGACGGATGCGACAGCTTGAGCAGACTCACAAATGTGCTCGACTATAACAACATATAACAACATATCTTCTTAACATGGACTGCGTGTTCCCAGGGGCGGGGTTTATGTAAATTTTAGGGTTGTTGATGTCACTAACCTGGGAGGAATCTTGTGTAGTCCTTACCAGCCGTTTGTTGTAGTCCTTAAAAAACGATTTCTTTAAAAGCAAATATCTCCCTTTGCTTTGAACTGTGAGCATTGAAACTTTGCATATGTTGTTTATACTCAAACAGCAACATTACATACTAACTAAAGTTAGAAAAGTGAAATCATAATCAACCACCCCTTTAATACTAAAGCCTAATTTCACAGCGCCAGTAAACTTTACTGGCTAAAGCTGTTTGAGTGCAATAGCTAGGTTCTGAGCCATCTGCTATATAGCTTCGCACTCTATATAGCCATTGCCTCTGAATCTTTCTCCTTCAGAGAAGCAAAGCATTGCATTAAATTAAAGCATTGCATTACTTACTCCTCGCCGTTGACAACGCCTAAAGAGGATGACTCTTATACCGTTTCCTCCCGCTGGATAGGTCTGAGTGTCCTTTCTGTGAAGAACTTATAGTCAGGACCCTCCGTACCAGGATTTCCACTGTCCTGAAAAGCACTCAGGCTGCCCCACCACCTTTACCTCTCACCACGCTGTCCAGATATGGGTTTATAGAAAGGGCTTTATATGTCAGATAGGGCCTTATTCTGAGAGCAGTTTCCGTCCCTTGGATGAGGCCTGCAAACTGGTCACATTATTGCACCACTGAGGACGACGACAACGTTGTCTCTGCGGCCTCTGGCTCGAGGGACTGGTCCTTTGAAGTGAAGCTGTTGAACATCCTCACAGAGGCCGTTAAGGACCTGGGCCTTGATTGGCTTCTGTTTGAGCAGCCGGTGAAGAATAGACTGGACATGTGGTTTCTGCAGCTATGCCGCCGCATTGTTGCACCCCCAGAGAGCAGCTCCGTTCTTCCCGGTGGTCTTGGCGCTCTCCCTATTCAGACGAGCCCAAACCACGGAAACTCTTTTACAATATTACAAAGTGCTTCCCATCGAAGAGGCTGTTGCAGCCCACCTCTGCCAGCGCACATGGATAGAAGTCTACGCCACCACTTTCCTCGAAGCCTTGTCGTACCACCACCCATATTGCTGAAAAAGTGCATATGGCAGCTAGCCAGGCACTACAGGCCATTCACACACACTGCAGTGGATGAACAAGGTCCAGATCCTGAGTCCTTTAGGAAGCTCAGGGCAACTAAGAAGACCAAAGTATTGGAAGCAGTATTAGCAGTTTTGTCCTTCTTCACCGTCACTCATGGCTTGCGCTGACAGAGATGCATGACTGGGAGAAACGCAGCTGTTGGATGTGCCCATAAGCCCCCACGGCCTCTTAGGTGTGTCTTTTTCTGATAAGTTTTTGGAGGTGCAGAAGCAATCGAAAGCCTCTGGTGGTGTCAGAATGGGCTACAAATACAATTATGAATGGCTATACTCTTCAGTTTACACACAGACTTCAGCTGTGTGATGAAGTCAGAGCTGCCAGATCGGGACACGCCTATTTTGTGAGCAAAGATTCAGTCTCTCCTGGCAAAACAGGCAATAGAGGTAGTGCCACTAGAGCACAGGGAAATAAGTCTATAAAGCCGCTACTTTCTAGTCCTCAAAAAGGATGGATGTCCACCCCACTTTGGATCTGAGAACGCCGAATCACGCACTTGCAAAAACCCTCATTCAAAATTATTACTGTGAAGCAGATCCTCGGGCATATTCAATCCCGGGACTGGTTTGTGTCGGTGGATTTAAAAGACGCTTATTTTCATTATCTGGATGACAGGCTTGTCACCGCTCAGTCTCGGAATAGAAAGCCACAAGAACAGCTTCTGGGCCACATACAATCTCTGGAGCTTTCTATAAATGCAATGAAGAGTGTGCTTCAACTTTTGCAGGACATTGCGTTCTTGGGGCTAAACCTAGATTCGCGTATAATGTATCAGGTGCGTGTGCAGTCCATGGTCAGAGCACTCGCCATATTCAAGCAGGGGGAGATCAATTTCTCTAAAAAGTTTTCAGAAGTTACTGGGACTGATGGTGCCACTTTAGCTCTGGATAAAAACCTGTGTGCCATGGCCCTCGAGCTGCACGTTATGGTGGTTCGCAGCTGTATATGCACATTATCCCCTTGGCTCGAAAGGACCATGTACGAGCAAGTGGTTTCCATGGGCATAGTGGCCAGAAGAAAAGTTGTGATGATAGACACGTCTTTAATGGGCTGGGGAGATTTTTGCTACGGCAGTCCAGTTTACGACACTTAGAAGAATGTGTCACACCAACGAAGTGGCACACCAACTGCCTAGAACTGAAGGCAGTATCTTTAGCTTTGCAGCACTTACGGCCATTCTCGAAGGACTGCCATATTCTCGTTCAAAGGGACAACAGGGCATTGGTATCATACATCAATTATCAAGGGAGTTTTCATTGCAGACGCTAGAAAGACGTTTACTCTTATCATACTTCCTGATGGTATGAGTAGTCCATGTCCCGGGTCATCTGAACTGTGGTGCAGACATGCTGTTCAGTCGTGGAGTAGTCCAGGGAGAGTTGACACTGCATCCTCAGACAATCCAGCTAATTTGTATACTATTCGGGGAGACAGAGGTGGATTTATTCGCCTCAGAGGAGAACATACACTGCCCGCTGTTCTTTATGCTAACCAATGCAAGAGGATGCTCTATCGAGTCGCTGGCCGAAGGCCGCAACTATGCTTTTCCCCGATTAAGATCACGCCACTGGTTCTGCACAAGATCAGGGAAGACCGGGAGACAGTTTTGTTGGTTGCACCGAACTGACCCAACCATCCGTGGTTTCTGGAGTTAACAGATCTGGTATCTCCGGCGTTATGCATAATATGGCACCAGAGCCCAGAAATGTGGAATATTTTAACCAATCTGGTTAAAGGGGAAAAGTAATTTATTTTAAGGTGTATGTGGCTGCCATTTTAGCTTTCCATTTGCAAATTGATCATTGTTTAGTAGGGAGGCATGTGTTAGTGTCAAGATTTCTAAGGGGAGTGAGGCGGTTGCATCCTTCTCTCCCTAACTGGGTTCTTGTCTGGGATTTTGCCACCTTTCAAACAACTGCATACGGTGCAGTTAAATGTGCTCTCTCTCTCAAGACACGCTCACTTTGGTGTGTGGTAAAAGCGTAGTTGACCTGCATGCATTGTCTACGAACACTGCTTGTTTGAAATCTTGGTAGGAATGACGGTATGATCAGGCTGACACCCAGACGTAGTTACAGTATGTGCCCAAAGTGCTGTCTACGTCATACAGAGTGCAAATTAGAGAACTGCAGGCATTCACTGCTCAGAAAGCTGCATTCTTTACGTCCGGTCGCGCTTTACGAGTTTATGTGGACAGATTCAACAAGTCAGGCTGTCAGAACAGCTGGTTGTGTATTTCGGAGGTTGTGCTTTTGGAGTCCACGCTCATTCTACTAGTAGTATGGCTTCTTCGTAGGCTCGGGCAAAAGGAATGCTGATTCAGGACATCTTGTCTGGCTGCAGGTTGGTCTTCTAGAAACACCTTTGCTAGACTTTACAACCTTGATATTTCCTCTTGTGTACCACGTTTTGTCTGTGCAAAGAGATGCCAGCTGACTTTCTATTGGTTGTTTGTGCATCTGACCACTCCTTTTACTCCGAAATGCATAATTTTAACAAGGTCCAGTACTGACCATGCAGGTATTATTATCTCAGCTGCGATACTTGCGTGCGTTAATGCTTGCAATTCTGTTTATTATTTTTTATTTTAATTCCAGCGGTGCTGCTACTGGATTTTCTATGACCCTTGCTTGTGTCTGTCACTTTGAGTTTGCTCGCCGCTCCAGTAGGCTAGGGCATGTAATTCTGTTGGCTGTCATGGTTTCTCCTAGGTCCGCTAGTTGGTATGTAAGGCAGTCAACGGGCTAAAGCTTGATTTTTTTATTGTGCTTTTGTTCGCTATGTTTGAGTTCTGTACACAGCATGGTTTTATGCTGTTCCCAAAAGCGTAGCTCGCAATGTCGAGAGACTTCCTCGAAAGGGAACGTAACCTCAGTTCCCTGAGAAGAGGTAACGAGACATTGCACATGCTGCTGTGTACAAATCTCAGAGACTTATAAATGTTGCTTTTCAATAGTAAGATTCTGAGGCAATGGCAATGAGTAACAAGCAATGTAGTGAATGGCTCCGCCCCTAGCTTGCACGCTCAAATGTCATTGGCCAGTAAAGATAAGCTTCAGTATTAAGGGAAGGAGGGGATACACCCTATAGTGTAGTTTGCAATGTCTCATTCCCTCCTCTCAGGAAACTGAGGTAATGAAAGTAACCAGAGATGGTTTCCCTTTAAGTTAAGATTAAAAATGGGTTTAGACCTAATACAGATATTTGGTCTTGTTTTAAGCAAAAACTTTTTCAGAAACAAAAACTTAATATTTTTTCATTTAGCATCTCCAGTAAATATATCTTGATTTACAAATGTTTAAATATTTGCAGTGGGGGCTGGTGGGTTTTAAAATAGAGGAGGCACACAAAATTTTAGCAGTCAGATTTTTTAACTGCTTTAAATGGCTTTTTTGGTCACTTTTTTTTTTTTTTTAAATGACATACATCAAGACAATATAAATATAAGTTCACTCACCTAGTCCTAGTCTATCACTTGAAGCAAAAATACATCCTTATGCCCTTTTGAATGTCCGTGTTACAAGAGCACGTTCAGCCGTTTAGTGAAGCTGATTGCTGTAACGTTAGTTTATATCCATCTTAGGCATGAAGTCTTCATTTTTAATTCGTAGCTGTTGTTTGAATGGTAGTTTAGCAAATTTGTTTGCGAACAAATATTCAATATCTCTACTCTCCATAGTTACATCAGCGGTAGCAGGTCAAACTAATATTACGTAATTTACGTCTCGATGATTGGTTTAAATAGGGAAGCTAGCCTTCTCTGCCATTCTCTCAACACTCCTAATCGCTGAAATACTCAATGTTGATTGGCTAATTATTTTTTTTTACAAACGGAGGCACCTTTCTCTATTTCCTTAGACTCGCGCAGTGGTTACACTTACAGTGGTGATATAACAAACAAGAAATACACATTCTGTGACATATAATGAATAACTGGGAATTTAACATTAAATCGTCGTTCTCCCATTTTCATCTCAAAGTTCTGGGTAAGCTGTGCCTACCTTGCCGAGCCGCCACTGAATATTTGTACTGGAAAACTAGGCAAAAATACAGAGGAAGAACTAATATTTTGCAGTGCATGCGCAGAGTAACTCACCCTGATAGAAAATGGTGTTGAGGAGCATCATCTTCGTCAAGGGCTCGATACTCGTCACCATTTCATTCACTTTATTGCCGGTCTTTCTGCTCACATACTCATTGACGATGCTCTTGCTGAGCTCGGCTTTACTGAAATCCACATTGTTAACATCAGCACCAAAGAACGTCTTGATCTGATCGCTGAAGAGGCTCTCGACTGGAAAGCGCTCGTCTACGAAGAGTGCCGTGCCCTGCTCCATCTGCAGTCTTCTGTCCTGCGAGATGTTCTTCTGCAGCTGCTCAAAGAGCCGTGGGACGAGCAAGGCGTCTCCGCTTCCATCCAGAGAGTCCAGATTCAGTCCCTTCAAGATCTGACTGCGTGTTGAGCCCTTGGCAGCCAGTAAGAGCGTGGCGAAAGACGTGGACACACTTAGCGGTGAGAAGAAGACGTTTTTATCATGATAACTTGATATCTTGCGATAGAGGTTCATGGCAAAGTCAACATTTTTGAAGGCCAGATCAGTGACATCAGGAGTTTTGGGCTCTTGACTTTTGAGAACGCACAAAAACCCAGATGAAAAAATGAGGGTGAACAGCACTTTTAACTCCATTTTATAACCCTATTGTCAAAAATCCCGTGACCTGAAGATATATAAATAAAAAAAACAGCAGACTATAACTGAGATTTAAAAATCAATGCAGACACAAGAAGACCCACTGCAATACACACTGAAACATTAGTATTGGTAGCTATGCATGGTTTTGTTTACAACAACGTATAGTTAACAAAATATTTTTAGTTTGCGAATAAAATATAGTTTGCAAAACTATTCTGCACTAAAGGAAGTCCTAAAAGCATCAAACATGGTGTCAAAACCCTGAACAATAAAAAAACATCTAACATCCCTAACATCTGAAAATGTGAACTATAATTATACACGTAAAATAACATTTATACTCACGACCGACTGCAGATCTTGTGTTGTCTGTTGTGTTCTGACTGTTTGCAGAGACAAAGTTCAGTGTGCATTAGAGATTATCTATTAACAGTCAAACACTTTCCAGCCTAAAGACCCATCCGAGACAGATCAATGATGGCGATCGCCAGGTTCTTCTGACTTAAGTCTGAGTTTTGATGACAGCTTGAGTAAGTACTTCATTAAGAATGATTGTAGGGAACTCACTACAATCTCATCATATCTACGTATTTTTCAGGTCATCACAACTTAAAGAGATTGCTCACCCACAAATGAACTGTCTGTCATTATTTACTCACCCTCGTGTCTTTCCAAACCTGTATGACTTTCTTTCATCTGTGGAACACTAAACTTCTAGTTCATGCAACGAGTCAGTGGCGTCCAATGAGATTCAATGGTGTCCAAAACAACACTGAACCCCATTGATTATATGGACAAAACAACTGAATATCCTTCAAATATCTTCTTTTATGTTCCACAGAAGAAAGAAAGTCATAGTGTGTGTAAATGATGATAGAATGCTTATTTTGGGCATCTACGTCATTTGTTCATGTGAAGCAGCGAAGTGAACTCGGATGTGAAGATGGAGGACGATCAGTCAAAGTTAACCGTGTAACAAGTATAAGATCAGTTTCAGTCATGAGAAATCATATGTAGGTTTGGTGGATCATGTCCCCATGAATGAATACTGCATATATTTTGCATAAAATGCAACTTTCCTAACTTTCATGCATAGATGTACCCAAATTAATACAAATTCATAATGATTAGTACCCAAGCATAATTTAAAACAACTTTTTTAAGCACTTGACAGGCAAACTCCCATGCCCCCAATCACGCTTTCTCAACTTCACTTTGAAATAAAGGTTACATGCACATTGCCATTTAAAATCTCAAGCATACGCCCTATCGAATACAGCTTCGGAGGCTAAGCGTATCCCATCATGCATCATGTTCGGGAACTCACGTGTCCGAGGAAAATATTCCACTGCAAGTTAAATTAATTAGATATTACATACAATTTGGTAGTAAAACCAAGTGTTGCACATTTTATTGGTGCAAAGATGAGAAGGCTTTGTGTATTTTGTACAACATTTGAAACTGTTTTTATTTATTTATTATTATTTAATTAGAAGCACCACAGTTTTTAAATTGTGTTTTATTACATAGGAGCTACGAAACTGACATTTAGTATTGTATTGCATTCACAATTGATTTTAGGATTTAAAAAAACAAATCATTATTAAAAATCAAAATAAAGCTCTGTAAACACTTGCATTTTAAAGTGTGTCCCATCAGGTAATCACGTGTTCTACACACACTTGCAGTCTTCACGCTTGAACACTTGGGCAAATACGTCATGTAGGAGGTCAAGTGTAAAGACTGCAAGTGTGGGTATTCGACAGGCCCTGTGTTTCAGAACACATGCTCGTGAGTTCATTAGCTTAACACCTCCACCATTACACACTGTAAGAATGTCATGTAACATGGTGGACAAATGTCAAAGTAAATGTGAAATATTTGTTCAGGATTATTAGGTTAACCTGAGCTTGACCAGTGTGTTTACTGGTAGACAGACATTTTCTCCCTCTGGAAAGCCTAAAAATAACTGTATTTAAAAATAAATAAATCAACAAACCTGCTGAGTCCGAAATCCTCCAAGCTGTAGGAATGACCCGTGTCCCTGAATTCACTGGTTTAGCTTCACTGAGAACATCTCTTCTGTTGTTTGATTTTTTTTTGTTTAATAAAAAAGATTAAATGTTGGAACATTTCAAATTTCACTCTGCGAACAATTTTGACATCACTGCATCATCCTTCCCTCGGGCCATTTTGACCTGAAATGCATTTTTTTTTTTAAAGTATTAGTGTTAATTAATTCATTCTAATCAATTAGAATTTTAGTGTTCATCGGAGGACTTTTGTCGCACGTGAACCACGAATACACAAATAAAATTGTATGGATTGAAGGAGTTTTGTGGTTGAAATTTAAAAAAGTAACAAATCCTTCTCTCGCGGGTCATATTGACCCTCTTAGGAATGAATGGAAAGCGAGGAATGCTTCAGTACACACAGAAAAACCTAAAAATGCTCAGAATTCAAACTAAAAATGCTAAAACGGAACAGCGGAACAGCTCATTTGCTCCATATAGAGATATAAGGCCATATATAGAGTCATGAAATATCATGATATATATATTTATTTATTTTTTCACAAGAGGTCGGCAAAGACACAATGTGAGACATTTTGAGCTGAATTAAAAGGGTTATGCATGAAATTGGGAGTTATTTTGAATTTAAGTGGAAAGAATGTGCTTAAACTATTATTTACATTCATTCATTCATGCATTTGGCAGACGCTTTTAACC